TTCGTTCCTTTTTAGAAAGAGTAACACAGTGACTGTAACAGTGAGCTTGAGCATCCCAGACATTGCGAGGATGGTACAGGACAGAGCAGGGTTCACATCTGTTGTTTGTAGGGTAACCATGAGTTGTAGTGGACTCCATGACATCTAACAACAACAGCTGTGTGGAAAGATATTGCCTTGCCCCAGATGGAAAGTCACTGAAAAATGAGGAGAACAAGTATTAATAAAACACATCTGTTAATAATTAGAACTTGGAATGTATAAAGTGCCAATATAGGGAGAACTGAAAGTTGCAACAAATGACAGGTAATACATGAAGATTGATATTTTATGCTTTAGTGAACTGAGATGAACTGGTATGAGCCATTTTGAATCAGAATCATATGATCTACTATGCTAAGAATGAATATTGAAGAGGAACGATGTTGCATTCATGGTTAAAAAGGCAATTTCAGGATCTCCCTTGAAGTACCGTATAGTGAATAATAGGATACCATCCATACCCATACCCATCTTAATCTGATTTTTATTCAGATATATGTACCAACAACTAAAGTCAAAGAGTAGGAGATTGAGGATGTCTACCAAATTTTGCTATCTAAAATTGACCAAGTATCCAGTCAAGCTGTATTAATAATTATTGTTGAGTGTAATACAAACTTAGGAAACAAAAGGAAGGAATAATAGTGGGAAAGTAGACTTAGTGACAGAAATGAGGCTGGAGATGGAATGATTGGATTTTTTGTGCTCAGTGGATTATTTTTTATAAAAACTTAAAAGGTGACTTTACACATGGACTTCACCTAAAGGACAGCACAAGAATCAGATTGATTATATCTGTTGGAATCACTGGAGATGTGCATTATCAGCAGTCAAAAACCATACCATCAGTCACTTATGTGCAAGTTCACATTAAAACTGAAGAAAAGGAAAACTCTTCCATAGGAACTGAAATATGAGCTTGAGTCTATTCCAATTTAAGAGTCATTTCATGAACAGGTTTGAGACATTGAACATGAATGATCAAAGACAGGAGGAACTGTGGGAGGACATCAAGGATATCAGAGAGCAAAAAATCATTGCAAAGGCAGAGGAGAAAGAAATCAGTGTCGAGAAGCCAAAACAAAAGAAGAAATGCCGACATAAAAGAGCTGAACAGAAGATTTCAAAGAGCAGTTCAAGAAGACAGAGCAAAATTTTATAATGAAATTTCTAAAGAACTGGAGTGAGAAAGTGAAAAAAAAGGGAAGAATGCCGTCTGCAACTCTCAAGCTGAAAGAACTGAAAAACTGATTCTAGCCTTGAGTTGCAATACTTAGAGATGTGATAGGCAAAATTATGAATGATCCAGGGAGCATCAAAAAAAGATGGAAGGAATACAAAGAGCCATTGTGCCAAAAGTAATTAGTTGACACTGAAAAACTTTTAAGAAATGCCATAGGAACAAGAGCCAATGGTAATGAAGGGTGAAGTTGAAGTTGCACTGAAAGCTTTGGCATCAGGCCTCAGCAATCAGTGGAAAACCAGTTGACATAGTTCAGCTAACGAATGCAGCCTTGGATGTGCTTGTTAGTCTCTTCCAGGAAATTTAAAGGACAGTTGCATGGCCAGCTGACTGGAAGAGACCATATTTGTTCACAGTACCAAGAAAGGTGACCCAACAGAATGTGGAAACTATAGAACATTATCATTAATATCACGTGCAAGCAGAATTATTGCTAAAGATCATCCAAAAATGGCTAGAACAGTGCATTGACAGAGAACTGCCTAAGGTTCAAGCAGGGTTTAGGAAAGGCCATGGTACTAGGGATATCATTGTGACTGTCTGCTGAGTCCTGGCTGAGAGCAGGAGAATATCTATGTGTTTTATTGACTGTTAAAGGCATTTTATCATAACATCTTTGAGTTAAAATTGAGAAGAATGGGAATCCCTGGACACTTAATTGTGCTCATGAGAACCTATGCCTGGATTAATAAACTGCTGTCTAAACAAAGCAAGGGAACATGGCATGGTTTAAAATTAGGAATAGTGTGCCTTTTTCTCCATACTTAATCAGTCTGTATGTTGAGTAAATAATTAATGAAGCTAGACACTATGAAGTGGATTGTAGCATCCAGCTCGGAGCCATCAATGACCTGAATTAATCACATGACACACCTTGCTTGCTGAAAGTCAGGAGGACATGAAAAGCTTGCTGCAGATGATCAAGAACTACAGCCTTTGGTATAGATTACATCTAAGCATCAAGAAAACAGAAGTGCAGTTAGCATCTTGATAAGAGAAAGGACTGAAACTGTCATCTTGCTTGAATCCAGTAATCAATACCCCTGGTACTAGCAGTCAGGAAGTCAGGAGATGTATTGCACTGGGCAAGTCCAAGATGCTTAAGAGCGATGATGTCAAGCTGAATATTAAAGTGCATCTGAATTCGGGCCATGATCTCAATCACCAAGGATGACAGAAGAATAATTTGTGCCTTTGAGCTGTGGTGCTGAAGAAGAGTACTGAATATCCCATGGACTAAATTAAGAACAAACAGATATGTCTTGGAGAAAGTGCAACCAGAAATTTTTGCCTCTTGGAGGCAAAAATGGCAACGCTTCGTCTCTCATACTGATAGCTAGGTGAGACTGTATCTTGTAAAAGGATATAAGGCTTGATCAGAAAAGAAGGGGAAGACCCCTCATGAGATGGTATGGCATTGTGACGGTATCAGCAAACATCCAATTACTGGTAACTTTAGGAATAAATACTCCCAGCGTTCTTTTCTCTAAAGGAAAATTACCCTACGGAGCCACCCTAAGGTGCCCTGTAGGATCAGCAAGAGACCGCTGTTGTGGCTGCATTGCAGCTCAGTTTTTCCTCTGCCCAGTCCTGCTTTCTCACTTCAAAGAAGAGTTGTTCCCAGGATCATCATCCTTCTCTCCTGCATGTGAATCTCCATCTCTGAGTCAGATTGCCAGGAAAGCAACCTTCAACCACATGCATGCCCCAGTTTTAGGGAATCACCCTCTTTTAATTTGGCTGCTTTTTGACCAAGGTACATCTCATGTCCTGAAACAAAATAAAGCTAACTGATGCATGTGTAGCTGAAATTAATTTTCAGCTTTATCAGAGATTTTTTTCTTTTAAAGAGGTATGGACTTATTTGTGATACAACTATGAATCTGAAAGCAGTTAAAATTTTGAAATGTTGTATTCTGCCTGTTTTAAAATTTAATGTTGATAAAAAAGATAGTTATTAAAATGTGGTTCATATAATTGAATGCTTTAGAATCTAATTATAAAAAGAGCAAGGGCAGTGTGGGGATGGTAGAGTCTGACCACTACTTATTCCACAAGGAGAGGTGTCCCCATCAACAACATCTAAAACACAAAACTAGTTCTCATGAGGTCAGATATGTCCCAAGTGCTTCCACTTCTACTTCACCTGATCCCAACACCAATCCTATTGCTCTATTGGGATCAAAATCCATTGCAATAGCTGCACAAACCTTACAGAATGATAATCATGTTTATTTGGTCTATTAGGGAAGTTAACCGTTTACAACTCAGGTTCCTGTCATACTCAAGGGCCCTTCAGCCTTCAGCCTTGCAGCTTTAGGGCAGTGCTACAAAGCTTGCTTAGTCCTTCTGATTATGATGTCTCCCCCAGTCCTCCAGCAACTTGAGCGAAGGCCCCTGCCCTTCCTCCCTGGGGCAGCAGCTGTAGGTCAGCTCTGTCTCACTTCAGGTCTCTCCTTCTCCACTGTGGCTCCTATGGCTCTCGTGCAGGCTCTGGTCTGACTGGTGCAGGCATCTCTGACCCCAAAGGACACACACTGCATTCTTGGTTTCTTCTTACTTACTGGTAGTGATATTCTTTAATTTTTGCTGCTGAACATGCTCAGTTTAAACCGTGTGGAATTGTGAAACTAATCAGTCCCCTTGTGGATAGACTAACACATGTTTTTTGCATGTTCCTGCCCGGCCTTGTAACAAAGTCAAGGGCAAATGGCCCAGATAAGCAGTTTTGAATATAAGACCCACTATACTACAACAATGGATGAAAATTTCTAGATTAATAACACTGCAGTTTATGTGAGATTTATGAAGAGAGTGACGATTTATCGTCCTGACAACCCAGACCAAATTGAGGATTATATCCAAGCATCATGAATATATTTGAAGCTTATTAAAAAAGAAAGAAAAGTCAACCCGCTATTTTCTATGTTTTATATCAGTAATTAAGCTATTACATTTTTATTCTTTTCTACTGGCTTAAAAGTATTGGTACTTGGAATCCTAAGGTGGTACCAAAGGAAACAGGCTCCATTACTGGCTGGTGGTCCTAATCACTGTGCTAGCCTTGGCACTGCCCATTCGTCTATTTTTAAATCCTTTTTTTTTCTAAAATACTGTTTATTCTTCTTGTCAGCTAAGGCATATTTCATTTGACCCTAGTATTATAAGTGACACTTTCTTCAGAATCTGGCATGCTTGGAAACGAGCATGAACAGAGAGTCAGGAAAGGAGAGGAAGACGCTCAATGAGATAGTTTGTCACAGTGATTGCAGTGATGGCCTTGAGTGCAGCAGAGATTGTGAGGATGGCACACGATTGAGCAAGGTTTTACGCAGGGGCACTCTGAGGTGGAGTCCACGAGACAGCACCTAACAAGAACGACAAACTCCTTGCTTTCAAGTTAGAGCCGACTTAGAGATGACTCTTCCATCATGTTTCCAAGGCTGTAGAGGAGGCTTCCCGTCTTTCTTCCAGGGAGCTGCTGCTGGTGGATTCAGACCACCAGAGAGGCACGGCCTTTGGGTTACCAGCACAATTACTGTCAGAATATACTACTGAATTCCCTTAACAACAGCACATACTGCTTACTGGCATTCCTTGAACTATGCTTGTGATAGATGCTCTTGATTTGCTATTTACTTTTCAGATGATCTATGTACATGTTTTTTTTATGTTTAACTTTAAAATTCTTTATTAATCAAATTCATTCTATCAGAAGAATTACCTTGTACGTGCCCACTGTGTACCTCGGACAGAGGAAGCTGCGTCAGTACGACTGAAGGGATCCAGCTCGCTAAAGAACTAGGAGCTACGTACCTTGAACTGCACAGCCTCGATGACTTCTATATAGGAAAATATTTTGGAGGAGTGGTAAGTGGAAATTCTTATAGCATAAATTAAAGCAGTTGTTCAGGCTGGCTATAGAATTATTTCCCACAGCATTCGTTAGAACATTAGTTCTAGCAGTATGATTAGTTCTAGTGAAGCACTAAGGTAAGGTTATGTAGAAATGAGTTAAAAATGACTGATGGCAAAGAGATTCAGTGTTCAGGCTGCCAACCAAACCCATCAGCTAGTTCATCAGGGAACGATCTGACTGTCTACTTCTGTAAAGATGACAGGCTTGGAGGGCCTGTGAGGGCAGTGGTTTGGAAAAGTTTTTGCTAGCGTGAAATGAACACTGTATTTTTCTCTTCAAATAAATAATTTTCCATTTTTTGATATGAAAGTTCACAGTTTGCCAGTTGGTTGCACTTAATTGGTCTTTGTTTTTCACACAGAAGTCTGTTGAATTACACAAACCTCTAATGTCAGTTTTAATTATCATCTTTATTCAGCATCAGAGCTTGACGACCTCCAGCAGAGGGACCTGAAAATTCCCTTTGTGCCAGCTTCTTGAGGAGAATCATATTCCATCTTGTACCTGTGCTTCTCCTCTTGTTCTTGTTGTCATGTGCTCTTGAGTTGGAGTCACTTCCTAGCTGACCCTCCAGCTCGTTTTCAGAGGCTGTAAATCACATGAGCGGAAATGGCCCATCTTCCACTGGAGCAGCTGATGGATTTGAACCACTTGCCTTTTGAGTTGGCAGCTCACTTCCTTACCATTACACCACCAGAGCTCCCTTCTCATGTCTTATGGTTCAAAAAACATACAGTGAATCTATTTATATTATGTTTTGTTGTCAGATATATAGGGATCCAGGTTTGCTCACTTGGTTATAGGGCCATTTGCTGGGCTCTGCCAACATTTAGAAGCTCATCCTAGCATATTTGAAGCTCACATTAGCTTATTTAAGGTATGTGCTCATTCCCTAAAGTGTTAGGACTACAAAGTCCTTGGAGAATGGAGCTGCATCATTTAAGTATTTACCAACTTTGAAACAATAGCCTTCCAAACAATAACCCCTCCCTTTTTTAAAAAGCATGAACATAAAGTTTAATATTGAGCTGCTTCTGAAGTCCTATAGCCAACTCAAAAAGTTAGTTTGCAAAACTCTCCAGTTGAGGCTTCTGAGTTTCCCAAACAGTCACTTCTTAATAGACGTCTGATAAGCATAAAGAAGATATTTAATCCAAAGTAAACCTTATTGTAAGCAGAACGTTGGGATTCTTCACTCTTCTTTTCACTTAGTCCTTTTAGGAGTTACCTTTCCAGTTTGCTAGAATATATTTTTTAAAATTTACTTTTATTTTATATTGAAACACTGCATGGTTCAGAATTGGGAAGGATGTATGCCAGGGATGTGTCCTATCTCCATACCTTTTCAACCTGTATGCAGAACAGATTATCCGAGAGGCTAGACCCTATGAGGAGAAATGCGACATTTGGATTGGTGGAAGATCCATCAACAATCTGTGTTATGCAGATGACACAACCCTGCTTGCTGAAAGTGAGGAGGACCTGAAGCGCTTGCTGCAGAGGGTCAAGTTCTGCAGCCTTCACTAGAGATTGAGGCTCAATATCAAGAAGACAAAGATTCTCACCACTGGGCCAATTGGCAGCATCAGGATGGATGGTAAAGAGATTGAGATTGTTCACAGCTTTAGTCTGCTTGGCTCCACAGTCAACACTCTTGGGACCAGTAGCCAGGAAATGAAAAGATGTATTGCGATGGTAAAATCTGCTGTTAGAGACCTCTCTAAAGTACTGAAGAGCATTGGTGTCACTCTAGACACTAAGGTGTGCCTGATACAGGCCATTCTTTTTCCAGTCACTTGTTATGCGTCAGAGAGGTGGACGATGACTAGGGAGGATAGAAGGAGAATTGATGCCTTTGAGCTGTGTTGCTGGAGAAGAGTATTAAATATACCGTGGACTGCTAAGAAAACAAACAGATTCATCCTGGATAGGGTGAAACCAGGCTGCTCCTTGAAGGCAAGGATTCTGGGGCTTCATCTGACATACTTTGGACATGTTGTAAGGAAGTACCAGTCCTTGGAGAGGGACATCATGCCTGGGAGGATGGAGGTATAGCCCAGGAGGGGAACGCCCTCTGTGAGGTGGATTGATTCACTGCCTGGGGTAATCCAGATGGGTGTATCGGAGACAGTGAGATTGGCACAGGACAGAGCAGGGTTTAGGGCTGTTGTACATAGGGTCACTATGAGTCGCGACTCGACAGCACATAACAACAATTGGTTTGCATGCGAAATTAATATACTTTGTGTTTCATTCCTATGTATTGTGTTTCATATATGCCTTCAGTCCATTGTATTTCATATGATCATTCTCATATTAGTCTATGTCCACTATTACTTTGTCTTTTCAGGTCCCCATTGGATATTTCCTAATTCCTTTACCACCTCCTTCCATCCACCAAACTCTGCGATTTGTGATTTCTCACCTTTTCTCCATCCTCAGCCTCCTAGTCCCCCTTCCTTCCCCCTTTTAAACACATCTTACTAGTAAAAATAGATATTTTACTGTGTATTCATGAATGAATATGTTGAAATATAGATGTTTTATAGATAGCGTTGTTGTTGTTGTTGTGTACCGTAGAATCATAACTGACCTGTAGCTGACCCACTGATGGGTTTCCAGAGGTTGTTAATCACATGAGAAGAGATTGTCCATCCTTCTCCCATGGAGCAGCCCGTGGCCTTGAACCACATGCCTTTGAGATGGCAGCACAGCTTCTAGCCATTAGACTGTCAGAGCAGATAGCTTGAGAATTTTAATTTAACCCAGAGTTACTAGGTAAAATACATATATAAACACCAAATATAAATGGTTCTGGTATCTACACAATAGAAATCAAAACCAAATTTCCTGCTTTTGAGACAGTTCTGATTCATAACAACGCTCTAGAGCAGAGTGGAAATACCCCGTGGAGTCATCAGGGTTGGAGTCGTCACAGAAGCAGACTGCTCCATTCACCCGTGGAGCAACCGGTGAGTTCAGGCTCTGACCTTTCAGTTAGCAGCTGAGATCTTAACCATTAAGTCGTCAGTCCTCCTCTGTACACTATAAATGACCATTATTCACTCATTTAGTAAAGAAGTAGTAATAACACAACATTCAGCAATATATACATAACCTTATTCATATTATCCACAAGACTAAGAAATGTTAACTATATACTGTTAAGTTGTAAGTGGAATAATAAAAGGAGAGAAAAAGAAAATGTTCCTGTAGAACATAATATACTATCATGACTTTTAAAAAGTCTTAATTTGGTTGAAGAACTTTATCTTTTTTCCAGAAATATCCTAAGGAGCTGGGAGAAAAAAAAATTTGGTATCATTTAGTCAGAGCAGAGAGGAAGAAGCTGTTTCCTTTTGGGCTTTTCAGACTCCTTGTTTCCTTTTCCAGGTTCCTGAACCTGAGATATTCAAGTTCACGTGTTCTTGAATTATAGTGATGCTTGGGAAATCCAGAACTCATTGGAACTGCGTTGTTTTTCTTGGTCTTGTATGTGTAATGTTACCCCTTTGAGAGGATACAGTCTGACCACTTTTTCTATTACTCATTTTAGTAGAAAATATTTGAGTTTTCCATCCCTGATGGAAAATTTCTGTATCACTTCTTCCTTCTTTCCCTTCTTTCCTCCTTTCCGGTTAAAGTTGAGCAATGTTGAAGACTGAAGATGAAGTGATAGTTGGGGCAAAGTCTGTCATTTCTCCTTTCCTTTACTTAAAACTTAATGAGCCTATGAGAATAAGATAAAAATGGTCTCTTTATAGATACCAGCTGTGATATTAAGAAAAAAAAATAGTGACATTTGCAAGAATGATGGATGCAAATGATATTGTTAGAGTGAAAAATCTTACATGAAAGAGTCACGATGAAGTGCTGTGTAGCTTTACCTGCAAGCCTGAACGGGAAGGGTACTTTCCCTGTCCCTGAGCTTTAAAAAGTCCCAAGTGGCTCTTCCCCAGTTGTCCTCTCCAGCGCTGGGTTTGAGTCCAGGTAGTTAAAGTGATATCCTGCTTGGAGTTGGTATCTGCTGCTTGATCTATATTGTCCAGTATGATAGCCAATTGCCATATATGTATGCTTATTTTTCATTTATATTCTTTATACTTAAAGCAATGAAATTTAAAACTCTGAGTCCTATTAGACAAAAGGCAGAATAATAGCTCCACCTGAATTCCCAAACTCAAATGTTATCTAAAGTTCAAGTGAGGGCATTTATACGGAAGGAGTAGGATCTTGAAACTTGAGATGGAGAAATATGGTTAAGTAATCAGCAAACTGTGGACAGTGAGCTCCAAAATGTCATTGACTCCCACCTGTCAAAAGAACCAGCCTTCCTACTCTCATGTGAAGAGAGTCCATCATTGCCTGCTAAGCCACCACTATCAGAAGAACCATTGCAACTCACCTCATGAACTTAACCCAGTCATGCCTACAGAGTGTTTCTCTGCGTTATTACATAACATTTGAGCAAGAGCCTATGGTGATGAAGGAAGAAGTTCAAGCTGCTTTGAAGGAAATAGCAAAAAATAAGGCCCCAGGAATAGATGATATAC